TCAACACACAGACACTCAAGGTGCTTAACCTTCATAAAATGTTAATTGTCAACCTTGGGAGGTCAAACTAAATATTACATGAGCCGTTTTATTTTCTATTCATTTTATATGAGCTTTGCAACCCTTTATGGGTTTTGCAACTGTTTTTACAGTTTAATCCCTGGATTTTTGTGACTACTCCAGCAATAATGGAAAAAAAAAAATCTAAACTTATAATTAAGTAGAAAAAAAAAAGAACAAAAATTTCTTCAGTGGAAGATAATTTCTATGGAAGCTTGTTTCCACCACTGAAATAAAATAAATAAAATAAAATAATATATAAAAAAGTAATCGCAATCTAAATTTTTATCTCACAATTCTGACTTTTTTCCTCCCAATTGCAAGTTTAAATCTTGCAATTCAAAATTTTTTTCTCAGAATTGGGAGTTTACATTGTAAGAAAATAGTCATCCTTTTTTCCTCATAATTGGACTTATAACGCGCAATTGTGAGAAATAAATTCTGACCTTTTTCTCATAATTAAAGAGTTTATAAACGCAAGAAAAAGATCAGAATTGCAAGAAAAAAAGTCAGAATTGCGAGTTTCTCACATCTTTTTTTTATACTTTTATATTTTTTTGTTCAGTGGCAAAGACATACTTCCATACATTTCTGTCTCAGAGCACAAAAAAAATAAAAATAAAATAAAAAGTTCATTACAATTGTATATTCCACATTGTGAGTTTAAATTTTAAACCTTTTCTTATTTTAACTCACAATCGTATTTATCTTACAATTACCTTTCCTTAATTTTAGACAGTAAGAAAAAGATTACTATTTTCCAAACAACAAAAGCATAGTCATCACGTCTGTCAAGTCTAAAAAAAGTCAATATGTGTGCTATTTTCTGGTCCTAGCCATATTTAAAGGAACAACATTTCACTCAAAAATGAAAACGGGCTAAAAATTTACCCTCAGGACAAACAAGATGTAGATGAATTTGTTTCATCATCAGAACATATCTGAAGAAATGTAGCATTACATCACTTGCTCACCAGCGGATCCTCTGCAGTGAATGGGTGCCGTCAAAATGAGAGTCCAAACAGCTGATAAAAACATCACTTAATGACAATCAATTAATGTCTTGTGAAGCGAAAAAAAGCTGCATGTTTGTAAGAAACATTTTGCCAGTTTGTAACATCAAATAGATGTTAGCAAAGCATTTATGGAGATGGAGGAATTAACTAAATTCCTCATATGGCATAAACGTTGAAAGCAGCTGCTTACTTTCGAAAATACAGTAGCCTACTTGTGTGAAGTCAGAACCAACATAGAACTACAACACTCTCTGTTACAGAACACTGAACAAATCAGACACTGCCTCGCTACCATATGGCAGGCACATTTTTAACATGTAACACGTGCAAATGAGCATTTACAGTTTTCATGACAGAACACTGCATACAAACCGATCTGATCGAAAAGAACAGCACTGTTGTTAGAGTAGCTTTTTATACCATCACAGCAGAGAGGCGCACAATTTGTTCTACGGAAAATGTCAGACTGCATCCGTGAAAGCAGCTTAAAGCTCGCCTGCTGTCCTGAGCCATTCACGGACATCTGCCAGGTAAAGAAGCCAGGGATGGGTAAAAGAAAACAACAAATGAACTGCATTTCTAAAAATGTAAATATTTTTGGTTTTGAGCAAGTTTTGCAAAGGTCAAGGGATTGATTCTCAGTAGGGCTGGGTATCGTTCAAAAATTTTCGATATCGATACCGATACCGATACCGATACCTTGACTTCAATACCGGTTCCTGAACGATACTTTTTTCGATACCAATTTTATGAAATCAATTTTAACAAGATTACATTATCTAAAAAAATCTTTGGGTTTTTTTTTCAGCTTGTTGATGTTTATACAAACTCAAAGACTCATCTCCTGAGCCACTGCACAAAGGAACAAAATGTAAACAACACAATAAATCAGTGCAAAATAGTTTTAATAAAGCTCAAATAGTCTTCAGTTTACACATCGGTTAGCTACATTTACACTAGTGCGCGTGACAGAA